GTATTGCTTTTCCCCAAAAAGGTGTGCGAATTTTTATCACTTGTTACACGTGCAATTCTTTGAATACTTTGCTTGATTCTCCCTGTTTCGTGCTGTCAAAATTTGCCAAAATCGAATTAACAACGCACACAGTGAAACCGCAATAAGATACTTAGGTGTCTGTTTACCGAACACGTATGTAATAAATAAGTGGAACGATTCTCGATGATTTCAACCGTAATAAATCATTGCATGATTTAGCTCTGTATAAAGAACTGAAGTAAACGTGAAATTGTCGGCAAGTATACAGATTATTCGTTCCACCTGTCAGACATTAAAACTCGTCTTATTCCTCGCCCGTGGCAGTAGATTTAGAAAACAACGACGTTGATGCAGGTCGGAAGTAACGTTTCAGTACGTATCGGGGCAGAGTGCAATAGACGCGATGTTTGCTGAGCAAGGCATTCTGCATGACGCGACGAGACGCCGCGCCGCGCGTTGCGGAGGTGAAATTACACCTAGACAAATGACAGAGACGGGAGAACGTTTCTTGTGCACCACGCTGCAATATGTACCTTACTCGTTGTACACAGAGACGCGTCTTTGTAGTTTGTAGTTTCCTTTGGTTGCCGCCACCGTTAACGGCCAGCGGACTTTCACTCGCGTACTAAGATTGCGATGAGTCGGCTAGCTGGGCCGGGTTACTCGCCAAACAACGAACAACGGACTTATTTTTATCATATTTCCAATAAGGCTATTTTATAACGGGCAACCAAGCGTGACTATTTCTTTTTTACGGCGAGGAACTGAACTGTAAATTATTTCTAATTGCAAGTCAATTCAGATTGGAGAAATGAATTAACCAAATAAGAGACAGAGAAAAGAAAGGTTACGGACCTCGTCGTTTCGTTGATTTTATGATAATTCCTCAGTGAAAGACTTTGGCCTTTTTGTCATCATCGATGTTGAGCAATCTTTAATTCTTGATTGTGCATTTGATGTTGTTTACATTGTTAGAAATCTTGACGTAATAAGAGAAGAGTCAATCGTTGATTTGTTCAAAACGACAGGTGAACGTAATAATTCGTGCAATAATTTATTTTGTCATTCAAATCCGTTTAATCGAGACGACATAATGTCATATAAGAAGCGGAAAGAAGCATGTTGTAGTATGCGAATGAATATTGTTGTGTAGATGCGTCTGTACAATAAGGTCCGATACATTTGTAGCGGCATAAATGTTAATCATGAAGCGGTCATGGTCACCTGCATACATACATATCAATTACAGTTACGTCGTAACCGACGACGAAACGGGAAATAAAACCTATACATATCATAATACGTGCTCTACATACACACACATATATTAGGTATACTAGGTATATTAGACATGTAAGATAAGGAAGTGACTAAGAAAAAAATATATTAATAAAAAAATATATGAAATGTATATACATATTATATATAGCATGGTTATCCTCTCGCAAAGAAGGGTTCGATGTGGGTTCGCAGTTACCCAAGAAATTAGGGGAACACTTTTCTACGATCGACGAGTATCCCCCTAATTTCACTCCAAGAGAAGGAGAACAGGAATAAATTCGTGGCTGTATCACGACCGGCGAATTAAACAAAAAAATGTACTTACTTTCGAACGATGGGCTGCCTGAACGCCGAACGCGGAAGGTTCAAATCGAGCTGACCGACGATGCGTGTTCGTGAGTAAATAATTTCCAATGCTATTGGAATGCAACTATTCGCCTGCTTTTGAACACGGAATCGCATCTTATCTGATGTTACTGTAACCTTCGTCCTATCTCGCAAGCCTGGGTTGCCTATCTATTACAGAGTATTACTATGTGTAAAAAGAAAGGAAACATCCGACTCACCCCGTAAGAACATATCGATGTATGTATTACGAAAGCGTTATCGGCATTGTATGATATTATACGACATATACATGTATAATTGAGCAATTGAACGCAATGTTGATTGTAAATGTTACAAATAAAAAGTGTACAAAAAACCAAATATCGACTTTGTTATTTCAGTAATTATTTCCAGATATTAAACATACTAAATTAGAGCAGATCAGTAGATTACAAAATTTAGATTGTAATCTTAGGGAACCGTCGATATATTCAATGCTTCCTGAGAGCGAGTTCTTTTTAAGAGAAATAATGTTTGTTTTCTAAAACAAAGGAGTTGGAAAATTGATCTTTCGGACCGCGTTGTTCGACAGAAACGATGTATTCAAGAAAGGTAGCGGTAAAATAGGTCAGGATGTAGATATAACTTCCTATTATTATACTTGGAGCGAATCAACGTAGGAGCTCAAGTCCTGATATCGATAAGCGTTTTTAGCTAGGTTACGACAGAAATAGGAAAAGCTCTTACTTATTCATACCTTCCCGGTATTCCAGTCGCGGAATCGATAAATCGACCGACCGACTACGTTGCCCAACTAACCCCAGGATGTGTCTAACCGTCTTACCACTACGTATTTGTACTTTTGTCTTTCTTCCGATTATCTGGCCACAAGGATGGATCGAATAAAGCTTTACACGCGACTACATTTCTTTCTCCAGCATAGCGGTTTTATTAGTACAAAAAGCATTTTTACAAAATAAATAAGTTACAGGCTCTGAATGAAGAACGAACTTTTCTCCTCTCTCCAATTTTTTCTTCCTTCAGCGGAATTCCTTCCTTTCAATTAGGTGGTAAATATTGTCGGCGGATAGGTATATACCTGAGAGCAAGTGGTAAGAGAAGTAAGCCAGCGTACTACCTTGAATCTTCTGCGTTCTTCGCTCCCTTGTTTCGTTTGCTATCAGGGATACGCCTGCTCCGATGCACGTTCAAGTTTTCTCAAGGCAGCGAATGCTACCGCGTTCACTCTTGAACTTTTAATGCGGATCCTGGATGCGTCGCAAATGATTTTGAGTTCGCGGGAGTGACCTCCGATTCCGCTTCATTCTTCCCCCTTCTGTTAGCAGCTGATGTTCCATTGATTCGTAAAAGCTTGGCGTCTTTGATGAATTTCTTATGCTTCGGTTGTTGCGTGGTTGATGAATACTTTTGATTCGCTTGATGGTGATTGATGATTGATGAAACATGATCGAAGGTCGTCGCGCGGGGTGAAGACTTGTTGCGATTAATATTGGTAACCTCCGTTGCTAGCGTAGCTTTGGCCACCTCCGCCACCGGAGTAGCCGCCGCCACCACCTCCAGAGTAACCACCTCCGCCTCCTCCAGAGTAGCCGCCACCGCCTCCTCCAGAGTAGCCACCTCCGCCTCCTCCAGAGTAGCCTCCGTTGCCTCCACCGGAGTAGCCACCACCGCCTCCGGAATAGCCACCGCCGCCGCCGGAATAGCCACCACCGCCACCGGAATAGCCACCACCTCCGGAGTAGCCACCGCCGCCACCGGAGTAACCACCACCTCCGGAATATCCACCACTGCTGCCTCCAGAGTATCCGCCATTACCGCCTCCAGAGTATCCACCTCCACCTCCAGAATATCCACTAAAAATGAAAACAATTCGATCGTTTCAATTCAATCAGACTTGTAACGAAAACGAAAACTCGTATGTCAGTGAAAAACAATCGCTTCGAACGAACGATTGTTAATAATATAATTCACATGAGAAAAAAGCAAAAAAAAAAAATATTTTTTACCCTCCGAAGCTGCCACCACCGGTGCTAGGTGTACCGTAAGTCGAAGATGGTCTCGAGTATCCGTTGCCGCCACCAGTAGGTGCTCCGTAACTGGTGGATGGGCTACCACCGCCGAAACTTGGTGCTCCGTAAGACGAGGACAATCCACCGCCACCACCACCGCCGCGCGATGGAGCCCCATAGCTCGAGGAGATTCCACCACTGAATCCGTTACCACCGGATGGGGCACCGTAAGTGCTGGAAGGTCTTCCACCACCGCCACCGCCGCCGCTCGGTGCACCGTAAGTGCTTGACGGTGCTCCATAGGAGCTGGACGGTGCTCCATAGTTGCTCGATGGTCGGCCACCTCCGTTGGAGGGTGCGCCATAAGTGCTGGACGGTCTTCCGCCACCGCCTCCACCGCCGCCCGGAGCACCATAGGTACTGGATGGTGCTCCATAGTTACTGGATGGTGCTCCATAAGATGAGGATGGGCGACCGCCACCGGGTGCACCATACGTAGAAGATAGACCACCACCTCCTCCACCGCCGCCGAAGCTTCCTCCTCCTCCTCCTAAGTTCGGTGTTCCATAACTTGTCGATGGTGGTAAGTAGCTGCCTGAGACTGGTGCTATGAATTACATTTCATATTATTCGTTTATGCGAGATGAATACTGTTATTAGTTTTAATAAATATACTATATTTCGTAATTATGTATTTATGCGAAAACGTTATATGAAAACGTAATTTTACAGTTTAATAATGTAAAGTTATAATTGTAAAGTACAGGGTACTATTTTTTTAAGAAGTTAATTAGTTACGAGTTAACTGGCCCATGAATTTCTATGCGTCTTTGTCCTTGTATTTTGCTCGTTAGTCGGAGAAAGTGTGAGAAATCCCTAAATTACTTTGTCTCTGTGAATAACCCGTACGGCTAGGTTTACATAAAAAGTCTGGTTTCGATCGTCCAACTGAATCCGCAGCTGTTTCGTTGAATTCGCTGAGACACCGCTTTGAGATCGCGAAGGTCAAGAGACACAATCCGTTCGCATTGTTTTTAATCAAGTTCGTGACTGATTTTCTCCCGGCTATACTTTGCTGTCCCCAACCATCCGTTTCGACGTTTACAGAAAAGGTACTCGTAATTGAGCATTCAAGATCTGCTTAATAGCTCGTTTCACTATTTATAACTCGCAATCTTGCTTTCAAATAATATTGTGTTTGAATAAATGAAGAAGTATCCATCTTCCGGAGAGTAATAACAGAATAATTCCAACAGATTTTAAATGTAAAATTGTATTTCTGTCAATGTTTAATCTTAAACAGACGATTAATGTAAATTATGAGCTTCGTACTTTCAATTATACAAATTGCATTTTTTATATCTGACGTTCTTCATTCGATGTTATTGATTGCATAACAGGAGCAAATATTACATATGTGAGTTCCGAATCATAAAGCAATATGGTGCATATTGTAACTTCTTATATAAAGCGAAATTTTGGTACTTAATTATACAAACGCGGAAGCATATACAATGTACGTGACTGCCCTACGTTATAAACCACCTCTCATACAATAGACTATATATCGCAAAGTTAAGTAGGTCATAACGATCTCCATTGAGAAACTTTCTTGTTTCATGAAATATCTTTAATTAAAGTGGTACTTATGAAATCGCTCACGGCACAGAGATCGGAGTTACATCGATAACTTAGATTTTGCGGATTGCATACATCCACTGATGGTTGATTAAAAAAATTTCTCTAGTTCTAATTAACAAATGAATCTTTTCCTTTTTTAAATTGGAGGATCCACAATAGGTGTTCTGCTCCGTGAAATCTATCCCGATACTTCCGCCTATAGAAAAAGTATACCAGTTCGCACGATACGAGCGCAATTTGCACGTCGATCTCTAAATATTTGCGACGTGCGATTTCGTCGATGAACCGTATCGATAATTCACAACGGTTCGCCGTTTGAATATTTCATTCTCGACTCCTCGACGTAGCGGAGGCGATTTCTATTATTTTCGCGTCCTGATTTTGCAATTTCACGTCCGATTTTCATTCACTTACAAACGATCGCCGCGACGCGATGACGCGGCCGTCAATGTACCTACTAATCTTATCGCGGCGCGTAGCGATCGCGTGAAAATCTTTCTCCCGCAGTCAAACCTGTGCGAAGTGATAGTTCCGCTATATTGTGTTAACTAGCATTATCAGGAACGGTAGCGCGTACGTATGCACCTACATACATTACTCTCAGTCGATTTTTGAAAGTTTCTTTTCGTGGCTTTCGACTTTCTACGCATGTCTACTTTTTCCTATGCGAACTTCATTCGTCGAGCGGTCTCGAAGGGTAATAAAACAACGATTCGTCGTAGTGTTCTACTTTCCCTTACAGTCTCGTTACTTTAATTACTGAAGTAAATACTCTTGTTTTTATGAGATCATGTCTTAACGTTACTCATTTGGGGCAGAGAAGAAAGTATATTCTGTATTCTGTATAAGTAGTATTCTGTCGAATTCGGAAAGCTGCAACTCTGCACAGATCGTGACACTTTATTTTGTTTAATAAGGTACGAAACTGTTTAGGAATTAATACTTCAAGCAAATTCAATGACACGTGTGTTAATATGACAAATTAATAAGCAATTAAGTATTCAAAATCTTGTATTAAAAATAAGCAAAATGCTTTCTTGTATAATCAACATATTTATAAGGTAACTAGGATTAAATTTTATGTTAGAAAATTCTATTGAGTTACTTCAGCATTTTGTTAGTACGTGAATCAGTAGTTCTCTTCCAGAAGAATTGCCTCGGATTACGCATTTAATCTTACCCTCAGCGTAGATCGGTTGCAAGAGTAAGGCCGTAGCGAGTACGGTCGCTGCCAGGGAAGCCCAGGTTTTCGCGGGCCTCATGATCCCTGACGTCTAGTCCGAAAAGCTTTAAAGTACAGCCGAAGCCGATTCACATGCACCTTCCACCCCCGTGTGCGATGCAATCACGTATAGCGTAACGTAAATAGAATGATCAACTGCGAGTTAGAAGCGCGGAGGCGTTGTGGCCTGCTCGACGCATCCGTGAGATTTCGTCTAACGTGCTTCAAACATCGTCGATCTCGCTTATATAGTTAGCCGTCTTTTGGAGAAAGTCCTCGCGGGAATCCAAGAGGATGCTACCAGGTAGGTGAGACCTCTCGGTTGAGTGTGGGATGAAAGATAAGAGGGGGAAATTGGGGAACAGGAGGGGATCCGAGGACCTCGGTTGTAACGCCGACAGGAGATGCGTCGTCGCCGTAGTTGACCCTGGTTACTACTCGCCTCCTCTTCTTTCTTTACAAGATCAACTTTGATTTTTATGCCATGTGATTCCATTTCTTGCGTTGTCCTTACGTATCCTTTCTTTATTTTAGCGTCGCGAACCGAACGCTCTCGTTATTATGAATTCTCCCGCACGCGGCCTTGATGTCATAGCTGATGAGGGATCGGGGAGATGACGATGGTAATGATTACCCGAGGATATGCATACTCATCGTGTACGATTTATTTGACGTCGAACCATTTCATAAAATATTCATGTAAATTGTTCACTGTATCCTTTCGTAACAATTGAACTCTTTTGAAGATAATTTTTTTAATTGTGAGTTAAATGAGTAATATGCAGTAATGGAATTAAATAATCTAAGGAGGTAATGAAATTATTTTATTTTATTCAGTATGGGGAGTAGGTATCTCATGTAATATACTGTAATGTACTGAAATAAAGTATTCTATTAGGTAGGTAATGAAATTATTTTGTTTCATTGATTATATAGGGACATCTGAAACTTGCCCATTTCTTTACCGTTTCATTTCACGACTTTCCTGGAGTTTGAATCTATTTATAGAATTAAAAATGATTTTTTAAAGAACAAATATATCCATAGATACTTTGGTCAATTTCGATTTTGCCGTAGTCGTTTACTTTAATGGACCTGAATAATTTAGGAATTCGATGTGACTTTTCGAGCGCTGTTCCATTCAACGAGTGTGGGTATAATTTTTATGAAAAAATTTTAGACAGAAGTTTTCTTATTGTACCCGTGATTTGAATACAACAATGTTAAAATTTCTTCCGCTGTCGAACACGAAACTAGCTGCATTTTGAGTAGAACGCTTCCTGCATTCTAAATTGTCAGAAATGAACATTGGCGAGATCATATTAAACAATACGAATAAACAGTTAGCTATCATGAGATAAGGACGTTCTTATACACGTAAATACTTATTGTGTACGTGTGAAGGTAATACATAAGTTACATAAGTATATCTAGTGGATGAAATTTTTATTCTCCGTACAAGAGTACTATAAAAACAAGACAGTAATGATAAATCGTCGTGGATAAGGATGTAAATCGATACAAATAAACGATTTTATTAGTCATAAGATGCTGCGATAAAGACCGACAGGCGCATTAAGACAAATCCTCGTTTCATTTAACAATGACGAGCGATTAATATAAATTGGCGAGCGGCACGTCGGGATAAGCAGTTACAGCACGTTTTTTGCGCAACAGACAACGGCTCATCGGAACTCTCGTAGTCCCGCTGAATTAGGATTAAGAGCCTAGCCGAGTGCATGGATGAGCACAACTAATGTTGCTACTTGAGCAAGCACTTGTCCGAAACACGTTTCGCTCTGACCCGTTGCGATATACGGAGCACGGATGACTGTGAGCATGATTTCTAGGCCGAGGACACGATCTGCCTACGTATACCTGCGAAAATGACGGTATCGCCGATCGAATACAGATACCCACGTACACTTGGACGCTTCTTCGAACCGCGCGGACGGTTAACGAAGCGCAATCCAGCAAATCGACGTATTATTGCGGACCGTTCGTACACGTTTCGTGCCCTCTTACTCGATCATCGTCCCGTCTCGATGATGTACAACCGGCCGATTGCATCTTGCTGCGCTCCCGCGACGCGTAAATCTAATCCGACTGGTTGAACGCCGCAAATTGCAAGAACGATATGATGCATCGATTTCCGACGGGTTCTATACGTTTTCTACTTTACTTATGCCTGACGATGTGAACGCACACCAGAGTCGACGATCCTGCTACTCGTTTTCGTGGCACACCAAGTTTCAGCCTATGTCTTTACGTTCACGTTTCCTCGACGCACGGCGAAAACGGATAAACGTGGGAATCACGCGGCGCGCGCTCCATTCAGCGATTCGATTCCGAGATAAATGTTCAGATTCTCTATCTTCGACTCGGTACATTCGATGGATCCACATCGATTCCTTTTTTCGTTCTCTCCTCCCTTTTGCATCGACGGGTTGCTGCGCCGCGAAGTTTATGAATCGCTCCAGACGTTTACTGCGCTCTCACTGATTGCTGAAAGAATCGTTTCTAAATCGACGATTTACTATTGCTCGTGTAGCAATAACGTGGCCCGTGTTCGCGCGCCATAGTTGCTGAGATGCACCCGCTATGACAACGTTGCGGTAATATGAATGGTTGTCCCAGATTCGAATGCGTTCATCGTCGAATAGACCATTGATTAGACCATTGCGACAGAAGTTTGCAATAAAATAGCTTCCAGCTTTTATTTGTTCTATAATTGACCTAAAAAATATTACCTTTGAGTGACCGTCGATTTGTGAATTTATAATGCATTAAACGACCGCCGAATTTCATTGACTTGTTAGTCGAGCAACGTTCAGTGTTCGAAGAAACGAGAGAGATCTAAATGCCAGACTTTTACTTTCGCGCCGATGTGTTAATGCACGAAATTCCTCCAAATTCACTTTAATGTTTAATCAGTCAGTAAAATCGACAGCGAAGATTCGATAGGGGAAATAAGTCGCGTTTACTGAATAAGTGAATAGCAATTTACGTATTTCGAGTAAGTAGTCGTTTTGTTTCAGTCGAGCGGCTCGTAATAGGTAAGTAATCTCGAAACAATGGTGTCCGGAGCGCGGGGCCGCTAGGGGGAATCGCGAGCAGGGACGAAGAGGAGAATGCGTGTTCCAGGAAAAAGCGGAGAGCGTTCACCGCGTTCTCGTTTTCGGCGCGTTCCGATTTTCACGGAGCGGCGGCGGTGGTAGCGACGGCGACGGGCTAAGGAACAAGCGGAGATGGAAAGGAGGATAGATTAGCGTGGGGTAGGAAAAAGCGAAAGTCATGTCAGACCAATCGGAGCCGAGGCAGACCGAGCATTGTGCGCATCTCTGCCCTAGATAATTAATATCCGTACTCGGTCGTTTTCTGCGGCAAAGCAGCGCGCATCACCTCTCGCGGTGCACCCGCGGTCCCTCCGCCGCGCTACCGCCGTCACGTCGATTGCCTCATTTTCCCGTCGAGCTAATTGATTAAAGGGATTATTATTACGATGCTATGGAGCAGGATGCTTCGTCGACTACGTCGGCCTACAGCCGATTTCTTCGCTTCGTCACCGCTCTCGAGTCTCGGTCTGACAGTTACCGGTGTTGCAATGCCTGATTTTTCCACCCTTTTGTCTCTCGATTGCCACGGCGTAAAGATAAATATCTTTTTCGACGTCCATTCACGTACCGGTACCTTTGAAACGTTTGAAAACAGATCTTGCTCGTGACTAACTTCACGAATTAGAGGAGACAGACAGAAGTACTACTCGGCTCGTTCCTGTGGGAAGCCGAACAATTGTCTCAATGATATAACTTTATAATTATAAAACTAACAAGATCTTCGTATCGACGTAATACAGTTCTGTCTAACGATAGATATGATCAAGAATTTTTGCGTCAGTATCGAGATTCAAATCAGCCAAGTAATTAATATGACGTCATACCGTCGATTCAGGTATAAAACGTTTGAAATCGGATGTAGTTGCATTAACGGTGAAGTTTATAAAATGAAAAATTATCCAATTGTGTAATTCTCTTATCTGCGTTGTTTAATCTCAATAGAGTATCGTTCCTATCTTCAACGAACAGAAGCATAGCATGTTTCCTCAGATAACTTTCTAATTAATAAAAAAAAATAATTTAAAAATATTTACGTCAAATTGATCTATTTAATTAAACTACATGTTACAATCAGATAAGAATTGCACTTATGGTACATTCAATTAATACAATTAACGTATTTCGAGTCGGAGGAATTGAAATATTCCGTATTATATTCAACACGTTACTCGTGTTGTGGAAGTAGTATGATATCTTAAATGCAAACTTTCAGATAAACAAAAGCGATAACAATCTATTAAGCATTGTGTTCAGGATACTTCATTAAGATATGTTCATAGACATAATATATGCTTTTAATTATACGGTCTTTCTAGTATTCGTATCGCATTCTGCTTAGATGCACTATTATGTACAAGTAACAGTTTCCCAAAAGTTGAGGAATCATACCTAAATGCTGCTCATTAATACAGACAACGAATCAGAGCATGTACATACAAGTTTTCTTCTGCTGTTCGCTCTTTGACATTTCTGTTTGCTTTAGTTTTTATTGGCTGCATTTTTTATTCTTCCTAGTTTCTAGCTATAGCTATGAAATGCAATGCTTGCGTATATTCCTAGAATACCATAGAGGGCAAGAAAAAATCAATTCAAGGACTCTCTGGGCTATTAAAAAAACGTTTTATAACCAAAGGCTACACTTTTAAGAATTATCTTTGAAAATAGCCAAGGTGATCCTTTTACTCGTCATGTCGTTTAACCTTTTCGTCTAAGGTACATAAGAAATTACAAATCGTCTAAGGGAACGCCTACGACGAAGGATATAAATTACCTCGCTACTGCTTCACTTATCGTAAATACAAATATAGCGAAGTCTTTCATTGCATTTTGAATACATTTAATTTCATGGGACGATGTCTGTAAAAAATGCGACTAGAATGATCAGAGTGCATTTCATTTTCATGTCTGAATCATCGAGTTCCAATTATTCGCATCGTTGATTGTTTGAGAACAAACTGGATGATAGACGGTAGCCAAAATATCGTTTGACTCCCACGGGTCTAAATAACAGACGCTCTAAAGGAAGACGCGTAATTTCGTGATTTTCTCGAGGACCTCGACGACGTTGTTTGTTTCGCAATTGCAGGCCTCGTGATGTGACCCGCGAGTTACGATCGGCGTCAATTAATTCAAAAGGTCGGCTCCCCGTCATGATAGTAATGCTGCCTCGAATCTAGGAACGAAAACCGTCGGGAATGATTTATTCCGAGCGAACTGGCCCGATGCGCATCGACCCTTCTTCTTATTCCCGATTTCATTCCACCCATTATCAACGCGAGTCCGTTCTCCTTACCGTGACTCAAATCTCGAGTGACCACGTCGTATTATTACATCGAGTTGCGTCCTCCCAAGTGTGTATTACGTCACTGTGACGGTCCGTACGATGTCATCGACAGGCGGCAATGCCGTAATTAAATGTCCACCTGGAGTGCACACACGGTCTTGTCGTCGGCCGATCGATTACAATTCTCGTGTACTGCACGCACGCGTTGCATCCGAACTGCGTGTAGCTCGCGCACGTGCGGCGTCGTGTTACATGTTGCGCATACAGTTCCGGTTTCACGTCCTCTTTTTAATTTGTATAATTATTAATTAATAATCATTCTAATAAAAATCCAAGTGAGATCATTTTTCAGTAAATATAGAAATTGTTACATTTTTTAAAATTAAGTAATAATTCTTGTACAGGGTGTCGCAGGAAAAGTGTTAGAGCCGAAGAGAGGTGATTCTGTAAGTGCTTCTGAACAATTTCCTTCGTTTGTAAATTATTAAATTGACCAATAAGAGCACGTGTAGGGCCCGTGCTAAGCCACGGCTACGCGTGCTCTCATTGGTCAGTGTTTTTCGTTAATAATTCAAAAGCCATGGCCCACTTTGCATTTTACCAAAGGAAATTGTTATTCAGATACATCTCCAAAATCACCCCTTTTCGGCTCCAACACTTTTCCTGGCACACCCTGTATAAATGATGCAGCTTCCAAGGTGTGTACACATCGTGCAATCGTTGATAACGAGAAACTTTTTGTTCAGATAGGATTAAATATACAGTCGAGGGGAGAAATAAATGAAAAACAATCGAATAATTGTTAAATGTTTTATTACGATTATCAATAGCAAAAGAGAAGATTTTTACTTTTAACTTTATACGTACTGACTTTTTTAATGATCAACTTCTTAGGATGCTTCACAAGTTCGAGCCATTGAAACACCGCGTCGGCCGTCAAGCACATCTTAAAACTACCATAAAACACTTTCACTGAAACATTGTGCAAGTAAGCGCTGGTTAGATGTACATACTTTCCTTTGTATCTGTAAACATCGCTGCGCGTCGACGCAGAATAGGAATAGTAAATGTTTGGCTGCAACAGGAAGTACGAAAAATTCGATGAGTTGACCCAATTTTTACAATTGATTAAACATTAGAATTAAACAATTAACCAAACATTGTTGTTCATTCCAAGAAATTGTATGAATCACGTATTGCTACGATGGAATTCTTTCGCCAGGAAAGAGAGTGGCGTTTTAATTAAACGCGGGGCACGCGTGATTTTTCACGAACATACGCCGGACAATGAATACATAGTAACGCGTGGCGCGAAGCGTGATGTGGGTTAATAATTCTGATTAAGCTACCTGCTAAGTCTGTTAGTCGTTAGCCAGCGCGATGTTATTAAGAAACACGTGTTGCAATAGAGTTTACAGGTAAGCTTAAAAAGGATAGAAGCAACGATTATGCTGTGAAATCTGTTTCTTGCTAGCACATTCAGTAATTAATTTAAATTTAGGAACAATTAAATAATTGTTGTTATGAAATTTAAAATAATTTCTTTGTGGCACACGTGCTAGTAGTGTATTGAATAAGTGTCCATATATAGAATACAGTCTCTAAACACATATATGGTTCTGCGTATTCTAATTAACGTATAAAAGTCGTTGTTTTCTAATTAACGTATAAAAATTTATTTATCTGGCTATAAGGAAGCAAATTATATCCACACATCTCGTTAGCTTCTAATTAGGGAACATTTCTGAATTGGGGAACCTGACGTTTTTAGGTTGTATGAGTCGTAAAATCTATGCCAAAAGTTTAAGACGTGTAATACAAAGCTGTGTCCGATATAGTATAAAGCAATGACCTTTTAGGAAAAATTAATGATGAGTAAGGTTCATAAAACTGCTGAACAATATTTAACAATTGGTGGATACGTTTTACTTTCTCTGGTTGGCCTATCGATGCGTCGGTAGACAGAGAAAGTACGTGATAATTGATAGCAAAAACATCAATGATTTAACGCTGCAATCTGTGTAGAATTTTTACAAAGAATCTTAATTTCAACCAATTTTGGTTTATTAACACTATATCTACCAAGGGGGGTCGAAATTACTTGTTTGGCATTTCTTATAATCACTGCTTATTTTCAGTACATTTCGTTTTCTAAAATTTTGTATGACTTTCTCTAAAATATGTACATAACTAATTCTGTAAAACAGTTTCCTTTCTTTTTTGTCTTTTTTATGTAAAATTGTGTGCAGTGTACCTCCATATACCGAGATGAGGCAGTATCAAGCAGAAGCAGTTACAAAATTTTGCTACGATTGTATACCAATGGTGTACATCTAAATTCTTTATTTTATAGAAAAATTGAATGAAGACACAACTCGTTGAAAGTAGAAAGTTTCTCTTTTACTCTCGCTTCAACCAATTTGCATCCGTAACGCGCATATGGGAGTTCAATTTTTCCGGTCGTTACCACCAAAATGCAAATACGTGTTCCCAGACACGTTCATGACATCAGTGAATAGTACAGTTAAGAATGCGTTAATGCTACTCGCAGCACGTGAGGTAGTTACCTCGTATTAAGCGAAAAAGTCTGGAAAGTACAATGGCAGATGAAAATAGCGAAACAAGAATCCAACTATACCTAGGTTTCAAGGTCATGATTAATTTAGCATTGGTCATACTTCCTACTTTTTTTCTAGGATACAAATTGATTGAAGCATTGTTAATGGTTTCCATTATTCGCACATGTCATGTCGGTGTTTAATCGATCACCACAGGCACTGACAAAGTTTGATTAATCGATACCTCGTTAATAGTTTCACACAGAACCATTACTAACAATGAGAAACATTTCAATTGTATCCAAAGCTGAACTACTATTGTACTATCATCGGCTTTAATTTGATAAAACTGATAATAGATAACCGAGCTGAATGTTTATGAGAAAACGAGATTACAATGTGAATAGAAAATTGTATTATTTTACTATCTTAGATCCATTTCACTTTACATGAAATATTACGTAAATGTTCATGTACACATAATTCTGTTTCTTCTACTTCTTAATAAATGAAAATGACCTAATTACTCTCTAGAGTGTCTTAACTTTCCATATAATTTTAATGAATATTGCAATCGTTATCATCGAAGTTTCCCTATAAATTCAATCTGGTTTAATAATGATGAAAATTTTACAGAGAATCTAACACATGACTTGATAATATTTCGTTTTCACGTTCGAAAAGAGATTTTGAAATTTTAATGGTCTCAGTTAATCTTCCACAGCTCGAAGCGTTTGTCTCTCCTGTTTTCCATAAGTAATGATAGTCAGTCTATAGTCAGACATTCATTTCGAGAGCGTTTACCATAATCCTCATTAATGTCTCCGGTAACTAACTCAATCCTGACAGATATATTTTAGAGAAAAACGTTATCGTCCACCTTCCAATTATTTTCATACGAAGAGAAAACAGAACTGTTCGAATAAATATTATTTCTACGAATCCACTTCCACTGCAACATGACGACAATTTTGATTATTTGATAGAGTGATCCAATAGTTTCCCCTGAGTATCGAATTCCATTAATTCATCGTCGATATAATGTGAAATGAATCCCACGGAGTTAATGTGCTCACTCCAAACGTAAAACAATAGTGTCACTGCATTTGCATTCCGTTACGAATTCAATAAATGTTTATCGACGCAGTATCGTTTATTTTAAATACACCAGATATACATGTCGTTACCATTTCCGGATGTATATATATGGCCACGTAGAAAAAAAGAGCACACCGAGGTTTGGTGATTTTGCGTAATGATCTTAATGCCGGTATCCGTTGTGGCGCGGGTAGTAACAGTTTCTTCCGAGTATCGGATTCGATTGGTTTACCGGGCATTGAGCGAACAAATTGCTGCCAGGTGAATTTCATATTCGCCGAGGTCGATGCGAGAAAGGTCGTCGGCGTCGTCGTGCACTCGGCTGCAGCAGCGTGTTCACGTTCCCGGTGAAAGGAGAGGCTCGTAGGCGTGGTGTATTAGGGGTGGAAGGCGTGGTTTGTCCCGATCAATAAAACCATCCCCGTCGGTGGTACCAGCAAGGTGCGGAGGTGAGCTGGAAGCGAGGATCGCAAAGCGGACCGAGCACCTCCGAAAAGTGGTTTCGATGCCGCGCGCCGGTGGTGGAGGCGACGGTGGTAGTGGTGATATCGTGAGGACCGTCGGGGGTTACGTGGGGGTACCGTGGACTGTGCCAAACCACATCGATCCCGTCAGCTTTCTCTCTTCCTTGCTCTGCGATCCTCTCCTCATCACGGGTGCTCTCGTCAAAAGTACCATGGCTTCTAAAATTACGCAGGAGACTTCATTCGCAGCACGCAGTCACGAGAACGTCTGCACACGCAGCTGTTGGACCATGAAAACTGTCTTTGTACTTGTCGCCGTTTCCGTATTCCGTGTTTAGTACTTACCGGAAATTCTTGGATCGCGTTCCATTCAACGTCTCATTCATTCTGGTTTACAATCAAGATTTTTAATGCGCAAGGTTGACAATCACTTTAACCGTTTCTTCTTCATGTTTCCATATTATATTTGCATATAAGAAATTATAGACCGTATTAGAGATTCCATGTTATGTATTCGTCACGCAATTTTGTACCCTACAACGTCGAATCTAGATACATATTAATTTTGTTAATAAAGACATGCAGCGTGATTTATCGTTGTTTCAAATTGAGATTATTCACAGTATTTTTGCTACGTCTCTGAATAGTTTTAATTAGCAAGGTAAAGTTAATTAAGAGATTATATCATACTTTTTAATTGTTTCACATTTATCATAGTACTTATTTGCGAGACATTTTTATATGTGTATACACGCATACGTGAAAGAGGATTGAGACTTCCTGAGTTCATCCAGGTGTTCTTCATCCTATCCAGCCTTAATAGGAATCTTAAACCTACGTTTTCTCCTTTTTATCTTATCATGATGGTCAATGAGAAATGATGTCTATTTATGACTCGATGCACATTGACACGTATTAATCATTAATGATTTCACCTTTTTTCTGTGAACGTGTGACAATTTCGTCGGGAGAATGTTTCCAAGTAAAAGTAGATATACACAACGACTGATTACATTCACCAGATTCCATGAATTTAATCGTGAATCAAGATTCAAGTGATCTGCATGAAATCTAGCGAGATTCGTGCCACAGAGAACAATTAAAATTAAACAATTAAAATGTTAATTCAATTTGAAAATGGAAAATGAATGAAAATGGAAAATATTGTAATAAGAAGATATATAAAATATTGTAATAAGTGGAATGAATTGAAAAAGATATAAGTATAGTTTCGTATGTTAATCTGATTTTAGCTGAAACCATAACTGCCAGGCATACCTAAAGCTCATATACGTGACATGGATTTAGATGACCATGACTCGTACGGAATCGATTTCCTCTGCCCTCAAAACAAAGCGTTTCATTTTAAGAACAACACCGTTCGTATTCGCTTATCGATCAGCCTTTATCCGTTACCTGCGATTCTGAGCCATCGGCGTTTACTTAGAGCTACCGTCAGGCAGTAACACAGAGACTTCAATCCTTGATTCTCGTCACGCAGGTATTTTGATATCTTCACGGAATGACTCACGATTCGGGGCGAAGGAGAAGCAGACGGAAAGAGAAAGGCAGAAAGGGTAAATCATACTATAATAAAAGTTGTACTCCTCGTTTCGACAGAAACATGTCACGAAGATCCTTAGAAGTAAATGGGCAGAGGATCATAATTCTTTTATATTATTGTTCACAAACCTGTATTAGTTAAGCTTAGCTAAGGAAGGTCACCTTGAATCTCTTAGATTTCTTTCTCTTAGAATCTTTAGATAGATGGAGACGAGTTTTACATGTAATAAAGCTTCTGTCATACTACGTTTTATTGTTTTCCGTCACCGTAGTATGTAAATTATTCAGATTCCATTAGTTTCATTAGTCTTCCATTAAAGTGTGGATAATAGATTGTTTATTGATTGAATAAAATATAAAAATTACAAAATTATGGATAGTGAAAGAAAATGTATCAAAGGAAGAATAAAATGTGCATATTTCTGGGTTTCGTAGGTTTTAACATTTTCAGGTGAAGGAACTCTTCACAGGTCATTCTGAAAATACTGACGCGTCGGTTCATTGAACAATGTAGAAACTTTTATTCTGCTTACAAGGGTACACGTATAGCATATGTAACGACAGGGGGGAATACACATTTACCGCATAATTGATTACCAAGCTGTTTGAAGTTCATCAAATACATATTACGTAATCCTGCCAGGTGCACTCGATCCTTCAATTTCTCTGTTCAACGCGATTAGAATGAAATAGAGTCTTACAAATTATTTTTTCTTGTCTCGCAATTTTCATATTGAATCAAAATAAACATACATGGTATTAAAAGTATATGAAAAAGAAGTTTTTATTACTTACTATCAGTAAAGAATTTATTGATATAAGACAAAAAATATATTTTTATGTGTTGTTACGAAAGATTAACATTATGCAATTGTGTGCTCACAAAGATATTTGGCGTTCTTATCAGAGATAAAAATCGAGGCCATGTAATTGCTTCATTCGGACTGGTTATAAAAATACATTTGAATTTAATTAGCGAAACGAGTCATCTTGCGTGCGTATAATTGCTTTTTATTTTAAGCATCGATGCTTAACCTTGACCCTCGTTACGTCAACTCGCGGTCATTAACTCAGTTACGACGTTATGAATCCACAGAACTAGTTTGATTTATGGCCATGCTATTAATTTCGATACTGTTCCGTATAATTCATTTACATTCAAGTTCGTCTGAATTTGGTATTTTGGTATTGGCTACTATGAATGATCCAACATACTAGTGGACGAATATTTAAGGTTGTACGAGCCGTAAGATCCCTGCCAAAAGTTTAAGATATTAAGTGTTTTATTAATGTAATATATAGTAACTATTAAAATTTCAATGCTTATTCATTGTTTTTTAAGGGTTCATAAAACTTTAATACTGGTCAGACTATCTTGAAAGCTTTCTGTATTTCCTATCTCGTTATTTGAATTCCGTTGACTTTTCCATGCGTAGTATCCACGAATCCCAATAAAAATAATTTCCAAGAATAGGAAGATTCATTGGGCTCCCATAAAATAACACAATGGATAACGACCGTGCAAAATGAAGATTCGAACGTATCGACTTAATTAACTTTCACTTTATGATCCTCGCTGGTAAAGTAACGAAGGGTCTTCGCACCAATTGCGTCAGGAAACTGGGGCAGAGCTAATGGGCCTTACGACGCGATCACGATTTCGCACGGCGTTCGAGTATCCAGTGAAACAGGGAAAGAGTGTATCATCAATGTCTGGGAGAAGCGATCTTGGGTGCCCCCAATGATCGATCGAGTCCAAAATTAAATCGTGTGCTCATCGGTTACGAAACTGTTATATTACGTCGTATCCAGTCTTGCTAATTCGATAATACCAACAAAGCGAGCGATTCGATTGAGTCGAGACGGTGCGCTGGTAACCGTCTATCGGTCGGCTAATGGGCTTTACGTAAGCGCGTGCCTATATTCTCGATGTAAACACGGTTTCCGAGTAAACGATCCTTACAATCTGCTCGAGCAACCAGAATCGAAGATATACAGTGGAAATAAGCGAACCGGTCGCGATGCACGCGACAATAAAGGCTGGAACTTGTCGGTAGCGTAGCTCCAACGAGGGTGGAGAGATCGAGGCATGAATAAGGGGGGACGATATAAGAAAAGAAACGCGTGCAGCATAAAAACTATGGGACTGGTTTAATGCGTACCTGCCATCGGCAGCGTGCCACGGCACGTTCCCTTCCGTGAAACTAAAATAAATTATTGTTCCGCCGTATACTCGTTGCCCGCCGGGGTGCCATCGGCCCTACTGTCTTCTCTTTTCATGCCGCGTTCGCGCGCGCCCGTTACCCCGTCATCCAACGCCGCGTACCTAATATAATATTCTAGGCAATTACAGTGTTTGCGGATCAAACAGAGGGACTCGTTTCATCTCCTCCGTAGCCTCTCCAATCCCCTCCACGTGGCCAACCAACTACCCCTCTTGTTGCGTGTATAAAGGGTGGTGAGAAACACGCGGGTGGCAGACGTCGAGACTAGGGGGTCGCATCATGTTCCCGAGCGATTTTCATTTTCCAATGAATCGATTTCGCGGTACTGGATAGACGGACGAATTCTTGTGCTTGGCCTCGTTTGAACAAAATTGCAAAAGATCATTTCACAGGAAGTTGACCGACTCCTTGAAACATTTTTCTTTTGCATAATACAAATGTACAGTACAAACACTGTAAGAGGTTTGTTCTTAGAAAGTTTGCCTGAAAATTAAAGCCGCCGCTCTTTAAAATCGTAAATTGCAATTGCCGTGATTGCAACGTAGAAAGCGTTCGAAACTGTGACATGTGCCCACTTTTAATCGGTTACCTTGTACAGCTGTTTCGCTGAATGTACGAGAAATACCAGTGTACAACAATATATCGTTTCAGGAAAATCCACGTGACGACAGCACCATACTATTTTGATAACACTGCATGTGAAGTAAAATGTATAACGATTTAAAATTTAAATTGAATTTCTATAGATGAGACGATGAAATGAATTTTCGAAGGGAACAATGGAACGGAGCGAACAAAACATTTCATTCTATACCGATGGTTAATTGAAAATTCTGTCATAACTCTGCTTTTTGCCCGTGCAAAATTTCTCCGCAATTTCATCCTTGTTTCCAGCGTTTTTACAATATTCTCGGTCCTCTGTACAAAGGATGATTAAGAGCTTTCGCGAGAGAAACAGAAAACACCGGCAACAATGGTAGAGCGCTGTCGGTGACATTAGAAAGAGGAGACGGGCATTAATAAAAAGGAAATGGGAATGAAAGAGAAGGAAACGCGTAGAAGCAACGGTGAACTTATTCGCAGGTGATG